CAAAGCTCGGGTATAGCAGCTTGTATACCTATACTTCTAACTTCTATACTACAGTATTATATAAAAATCTAATAGTGTCTGTAACCACATCATGTACTTCCACGGATCTTATAAATCCCATCCATATCTTTCCGTCCGTCTATACATTTCCTGTCCCACGGTGGTGTAACATTCAGCTATCGATGCATCCATCGTGGAGATAGACAGAAGACAATCTGCAAGCTGTAAACCTTTTGAGATTGCCACATCAAGTCCATGTGGATTGTCTCAACCAATGAGAGAGGATTATCCAACGATCACACCCTCAGATTGGCTGTCTCTATAGGCGGATAGGAAGACGTCAATTCCATAAAGACCAACAGTGGACAGTCTCCAGGAAGTCTTCGGTCCGGTCACCGCAGTCGGGAGTTGAAGTTTTTGGTCGTTAGTGATTCGTGGGTATAGTGTTGTTTTTAAAATGGCCTGTTGCCTTTAAAAGCAGATTAAAATTCTTCAGTGAAGTGTGCAGTGCAAAAAAACCCATAAAGTATTTTGTAATTTAAACTAAAAATTTAACTCCCGCTCGCTTACTCAGGGATAAATAATTTAAGGTTCTAGAAGTTAAATTTTTTTTTTTTATTTAATCAATTTAATTTTTAAATTTAAACAACAATTAATATTTTATTATTTTGTTTTACATTTTTAATTATATTAAACTACAATTACCAATTTATTTGTTAATATAAAGTTTTATTTACCTTTTTAATTTGATTATTCACTGTGCAGGTTCATTTCCCCTTGTTTTAAATTGTGTTCAGCTTATATAGGCCTATTATTATTGTATTTGTTTGATTGGGTTTATCTTTTCCTTTTTTTATTAAATTGTAAATTAATTTAGTAACTCTTGTTTTATTCTCATTTCCGGCCCTCATTCAATAGCCAAGCGAGTCAATTAACTTCTAACACATCAACAATCACCTCCAAAGTTACATCAATGAGTTACACTGTATGTATCACTAATAGGCCCAAAAACTACTGAACTGACTGGGCTTAAATTTTACAAAAATATAGCTACCATACCAAGAATGGTAATAGAACTATTTGCACTTCGATACTGACCATGGGATTTGCCCCTTTGGCTTTAAAAGTTCTGAGGTGAGGATTTTAAAAGTAAATATTGATTGGTCTCCATGGCTGCTAGCTAAGAGAACACTCACAATGTTTACAGTTTTCTTTGACATTTCAATGTAAACAAGAAGAAACGCCAAATTGTATATTCCACAATTACAGATAGCTCATCCAAAGAAATTTAATATAAGTTAATAATAATATTTTACACTACTATTTGGTAGGTTTATTTAATCTAAAACTTAATCATAGATTTTTTATTCTAAAACTATGTCAATAGTTAGTAGATAAGTACAGATATCTACAATATGTACAAGATACAGTATTAAAAAATATTCTATAACCTTTGCTGTATATCAACTCAGGCTCTGCTTTTGTTTTTTTAAGTTATGAAAATAATGTTATTGGTATATTTTCATGGAAACAGTATTAAAATTACAATGTATAGATGTTTTGTATGAATTTGGAGGCTATTTGTTATCAATTATTGGAACTGCTTAACATGTAATGGATTAATTTAACAAAAATTAATTTTTATAATGGTTTAAATACCTGCATTCAGTAATCCTAAAAGTAACTCCTAAAGCAACTCTTAATAATGAAAAATTAATTGCACTTCACATTGATTGTTTTAAATATTTACGTAAATTTAGTAATTACTGTGTGTTGTTATACCTATGCTTAAACTAAACTAAAGAATATCATAAATAACTAAATTGTACACCGTTGCTTTTTGTATTCTAAAATCTGTGGTATATGTGTAACTATACTTCATTTTGTGTTAGTCCCGAGCTCCGAAACCGGCCCTAAAAGACTATAATGGCATGGGGGGGGGGGGGGGGGGTTGGAATAGTATATTTCAGTACTAGGACCAAAAGTGGTATTTTCCGACGCACGCTCAAGTTTCATGTGTGAGGCACATCCGAACACAGGAAATCCAAATTTCACATGCTCGGCTTTGCCTCGCATGTGAGACTTATTTTCACGTACGACGCGAAGCCGAGGACAGGAATAATGGAGCAAGTGTCGGAAAATAGCTTTCGGTACGAGTTATGAACGATACTTTTCGTCAGGACACAAAAATATACACACAGAACAACATATCTCAGTAGTATTAAAATAGTTATAGACCACACTTTAACATTGAAAATATACTTCACAACGTACATAGCTGTAGATTGTTTGGATAAATATATTAATAAATACTTCGTCACTTACCGTACTTCAATTGACTTTTGTAATTTGTACCAGTTTCTAAGCTTTCTGTAATCCTGTTCTTATATTTTATCTGGTGGAAGGTGATTAGTTACCTCGGAGGCTGTTTTTATCAAATTGTCAGTACTGTTAGACATACTTTGAGCAATTTCAAACACAACAAAAAAAAACTAATGCCTGTTTCTGTATAGATATAGATTGTGCAACAATAAAAACAGCTGATTTAAATCATTAAAACAAACCTAAAAAAACACTAGCGCGTAGTGGATAAATAGTGGAGAACTAATTGAGAGCGAGGTAAAATCTCAAAAGATCAGCTGATCGTTTTTCCCTCGCTCTAAATTAGAGCTTGGGAAACTACTTTCTTTTATATCAGCTGTTATCGAAAATAGTTACTTTCAGTAAGGATTGATTAAAACATATTTTTTATACAAATCTTGATTTTACAAGAACTATTGAATATAAAATATGATTTACTGTATGCCTAAGCGTGTGGGGCTGAAAAATAGTTAGGGGTTGCACAAGGACAGGCATCAGTACCTAAGGACGGGAATTCCCACCCTGGAAGTGACGTTACCAATTTTAGCCAAAATGGACACTGAGACACTAGATTTATCATTTGGATACCCTTACATCATTTTTGAGTTAGTTATCACATTATAATTTTTTTGCATTTTAGGGTCGCAATACTCATAACTATTAGAACTCAACGTGTTAAAAACAGGCACTTGTGTATTTAGAAAGAAACTTAATTTTTTTAAGAACCATACGTGTATATAAAAAGGCAACAGTTTATCAAGCTCATAGCATTTTATTAATAAAAGTAATACTAAAAAAGTACATATTACCGTGGTAAAAATTTATATCTATACAAAAATCAAGTATAAAAATATAAACTATCAAATCTATATATATACATATAATAATAAATATGAATGACAATTCACTCATGTAAAAGATACATTCATATCACTCTACACATAACAATAAATCAGTTTAGGTTTTGTAAAAGATCAAAAATAAAATATATGGAAAATAAACCTTGTCTTAGTTGCACCATGTTGAGACTAAAGGTAGCCTATGAAGTCAATGAAATTCTTCAAAATTAATTGTTAGCCTATAAGAATACCCCCGCCGCAGCAAACCTGCAGACTAAGCGAATTTCCATTTGACTGATTGGATTTACACTGAAATGTCTACTTAAAAATATAACATTTATTCTTGATTTAAATAGAATTAGTTTAACAAGTACTTAGGTTTGCTGCATCAGGGAGGGTAAAACTGTTTTTTTTTTGTAAAATGTGAATTGTTAGTAAGAAATAAAAACATTTTCCAAATTTGATCAAAATATGTTCACAAACAAGCAAACTACAACAGTTTACTTATTCTCCATAAGAATAACATGAGAATTTTTAATTTACAATTTTTTGGAATTTTCTCCGTAACCATTAGGCGCATAATAACGCTTCAATATACTAAATTATTTGTTTTTTGAAGCTCTACAAAATGGTTTGGAAAGAAATTGCTAAATTTTATGTTTTTTGGGTCAAAAATGGGAAAAACCTATTTTTACCCCATAAAACCCCCCGTAAACCCCCGTTCCCATAGTCCGATCATGCTGGATCGCGAACTCGTTCGAATAAACGTACGTTTACACGTTTGTACCAAATTTCATCAAAATCGGATCATTTTTGCTCGAGTTATCGTGCTGACGGACACATATATATATATATATATATATAAATATATAAATATATAAATATATATATATATATATATATATGAATTTGAACGGATGGTGTTTTTGGCCTCTAGGGACCTCAAAACGAAAAAAAAAATCGGTCCCGCGTCCAGGTCTTACCATGAGTACTACGGTAATAGCTTATTCCCTATATGGGAAATTCGCTAAAATAAGAGAAACTTTTTGGATCCCTTCTAACTTATAATCTATAGTGCAGGTTTGTAAGCTATCAGAAATACTGGTAATAAGTTGGTAAATAAAATATAGCAAACTCATAAATACCCCCGCTGCAGCAAACCTGCAGACTAAGCGAATTTCCATTTGACTGATTGGATTTACACTGAAATGTCTACTTAAAAATATAACATTTATTCTTGATTTAAATAGAATTAGTTTAACAAGTACTTAGGTTTGCTGCATCAGGGAGGGTAAAACTGTTTAGTGTTTTTTTTTGTAAAATGTGAATAGTTAGTAAGAAATAAAAACATTTTCCAAATTTGATCAAAATATGTTCACAAACAAGCAAGCTACAACAGTTTACTTATTCTCCATAAGAATAACATGGGAATTTTAAATTTACAATTTTTTTGAATTTTCTCCGTAACCATTAGGCGCATAGTAACGCTTCAATATACTAAATTATTTGTTTTTTTAAGCTCTACAAAATGGTTTGGAAAGAAATTGCTAAATCTTATGTTTTTTGGGTCAAAAATGGGAAAAACCTATTTTTACCCCATAAAACCCCCCGTAAACCCCCGTTCCCATGGTCCGATCATGCTGGATCGCGAACTCGTTTGAATAAACGTACTTTTACACGTTTGTACCAAATTTCATCAAAATCGGATCATTTTTGCTCGAGTTATCGTGCTGACGGACACATATATATATATATATATAAATATATAAATATATAAATATATATATATATATATATATATATATATATGAATTTGAACGGATGGTGTTTTTGGCCTCTAGGGACCTCAAATCGAAAAAAAAAATCGGTCCCGCGTCCAGGTCTTACCATGAGTACTACGGTAATAGCTTATTCCCTATATGGGAAATTCGCTAAAAGGAAAACTAGCAATCACAAACCATAGCAATGTAGCATTCATCAGCAACACCTTGCTGTATTAGGGAATAGTCCATTCATGCACTAACGAGGCATGTATGAAATGTTTTTCCCCTGCAAAGTGCCAATGTAGAATAGACTTACACATTATTCGCTCTCATGTTATTAAGTAGCTGATACCCTCCATAAGCACGGGTCACACTAGGCTGCTCGCCAGCTGCTTGTGATCAGCGACTGGCACCAGCACCACCAAGCAGCGGCTTTTGCATGGGTCGCAGTAGGTAGATTGTCAGCTGCTAGTGATCAGCGTCTTGGGACCTCGTAACGAATACTTAAGTGATTATTGAGGATGTGTGAGAATGAAAAGCTGTGAGGTTTTGCAACAATTTACAGTAAGCTGCTTCTTTGACGTTCCTAAAACTCACGTTCCTACTTCTTTGAAGAAACGTCCCATAAGCACGCATAGTTTTGGAATAAATTTGAGAAATCAATAACCTGCTTCCCCGACCACTTAAGCTCAGTAATTTCTACGCTAAGAATTACTGCTTTTAATCCCCTAGTTTAAAGCTCAGTTCTTGTTCCCATTTCGTCCTTGGGTCCTCATAAACCAGTACTTAATCGATTATTGAGGATGTGTGTGAAAGAGAAAGAACTTTTTTTAAAAATGTTTAACTGCAAGAAGAGGCGTTAGTGGACCAGACCTTGGATACAAACAAAGGAACAGTTAGGAGCTTCTTCAAGCCTGTTTGGGCTATCCTTAAAACATATTCTTCCTGAACTCTAGTGGAAAATCAGCAAACTATTTTGTGTGGTTCAGTGTGTCGATTAGTGCTTCCATCAAGTGGAAGACTTTTAAAACTACTTTATCTGGGGGAGGTATATCCACTTTCTCCTTTTACAATCATGAATTGAAGTAAGCAACATGTCCAGAGTTCTTCCCTATCTATATAATTATTACGCTACATGAAACTTTGTCGGTTGAACTCCTCCGCCATTTCTTAACCGATTTTACCCATTGACGTCTCATTGGAAAGAGCGTGTCGCGTAGATTTGCAAACTGGCCTTACATTTTTGAAAAAGTCCCTTGGGCTCTGCCCCAGTGGCTGTTAAAGTTCCCATGTTATCCTTATGGAGAACATAATTGCTTACACTTTGATCAGCTGTATAATAATAATTTAATTGCTGTTATTTATTTGTCAATTCAATGAAACGCATTGAGTACATTTATTTACTATTTGAGTTTGTGTCAACATAACCCCCAAGACGGATCGTGTTAGTATGGCTGTATCTTAAATTTGTGTATTTATCTTTGTTTTGTGTCGCTATGTCGGATCGTGTTAGCATGATTGTAACTTAAATTTGTGCATGCTTAACTCATCACAGTCAGCACCTGACCTAGACAATTTCAACTATTAGGTTACAAATGCACCCTAACACTACCCCAAAACGACTTTTCGTTCTCAATAATTGGCCCTCTATCAATGACCTGTGTTGCCTGTACAGCGAGGCATTTTGAGAAGAAAAGGAGAAAACCGGCCGGAATGCTTTAGGTTTATCAATAACGAAGATAAACATGGACAACCTTATATGGCTATAAGTCAGTAAATTTTTGTAGAAAACATTAAAAAGCATTACCAGGCTATGAAATATGATATTATATTTACAGGAAATGTTGATTACTGTTATATACATCGTGAGTATCTTCATGAGTTACACCATTGACTTTATAGGTTACACACCGGCAATCTTTGAGTTGACTCTTTTAAACTCATTGTAAATATGACTGTTATTCGTTTTGAAATAACTCCTGTAATACTTTTCAATTGTTCGAGTTCGAGCAACATGTACACTAGTTGTATATAATTTAAATACAAATCTAAAGACTATATGGTCACTTCCCATCTCTTTCCTTTCCCAAAGCCTCAAACATAAAACTAATTGGTAAAATCATTATACTAATCTGGCCAGATAATATGTACCATAGTAAGAATAATGATGTACATGTAACCAAATGTTAAAAGGTAGAGTAAAATAAATGTATTGACCACATATTGATTTTTTATGTCAAACCTTCGAGTCACTAGTAAATTCCCAATACAGTCCACTCATGTCATGTCAAGTTTTTTTTTGGGCATTGGTCCAAACAAGCTGGTTGCAAAAACTAAAAGAAGATGAATCAGAAACATACAAAAATGTTTTACGAATGTCACCACATACATTCCAAGAATTGCTACAATTAGTTAAACCTCTAATTGAAAAAATTGAGACAGGTGTTTTTGTGTAAAACCAAGATGAAAATTATCTTTTGTCGCTGCTGGCACACGTGACCACTAGTCACCGCTGCCTCGCTACCAAAAGTTGAACATGTCCGACTTTGCCAGCCGCTGACAAACGCTCACCGGCTGGCGGTGTCAGCTGCAAATTTTGTGGTCACATTAAGCTGACAGTAGCGGCTTCTTTCAATTCACAGCTGATGCCATGTGTCAATTCACAGCCCTAGTGTGAGCCATGCTTTATAGTCTGTTCTAAACTCCTTACACAGTGAAACCAATTCATGGATGAAAACTTAAACAGCTTTTAAGGTCAACCGGAAGCTGTTTGTATTATGGTATCTAGATCTACGTATTATGGTATCAGACAAATTAAATAAAAGTAAACTATAAATATCTATATTGTAAACTTTAGTCATAAGACTGTCATTCAATGAGTATTTTCATTTTGTTACATGTGCACCCTTTGAGACGGATAGAGATTGAACTATAGTTAAAATGTACTCTTAAAAATGGTTTAATTAAACTCTTGAAGTCTTCAATATGCAGCTTGCTTTTTGCTTCTTTTCTTGAACGCCAGGAAGCCAATTATGTGAGCTACGCAGTACAAAGCCCCCAGACCTAGCAAGTCCAATCTGTAGTTTGCAGCACTGTAGCCGTAGTTTTCCAGTACTCCGTCACCAGTTGATATACAAGGAACATTTTTGTTCTCCGAACAAGCTGCAAGCAAACAAAACAACACTAATTATTCGACATAATTTATTTTTTATTTTTGCAAGTGTAGATAGAAAAAATCTATATAAATAAAATTACAGTTTTGTCTGTACATTGCTTATAATCATGCAGTTTTTGGTTATTTTTACGTTTCATAGCCTAAGAAAGCCGAAACGAGTCTTATCTAAATTTTTGTCTGTCTGTCTGCCTGTTTGTCTGTTTGTCCACTTTGACATTCCGTCTGTGACGCCAAAATGTCATTTTACGCGGCCTACTCCTAGAAAACTTGAGTACCGATCAAGGTTCTAATCATTTTTCTGTATTTACTGGATTGGTGAGAGTGTCTTTGGCTATAAAAACATGGCCTTGCTTCTTTGAGAACAAAATAACGAACCATCAAAAACCCAATTTTGTTCGATTTTTGTTAAATGTTCTCCCAATGTTTACTATTGTATTTTATGAAATAACGATCAGCTGTTTGGATTAGTTCTCACTTCTAACTGTCACCGTCACTGATATGTTTACATTAAAAGTTGTTTACAAATACCGCAACCATTTCCGATCAAGTTTTGTTAGCACATCCAAACCATCTATTTACCATCTTATTTATTTTATAAAACAACTATTTGCAAACAAAAAATAGAATTCAACATCTGTTGTGAAATGACGATATAAACAAACATGACAGACAGCTGCCAAGACAACGTTCCCAACGTCAGCTGGTAAATCGTAATTTTCAATCGATTGTTTTTGCCGATTGGGCAGGCTGTGGACGACGTAAATGCAACCAAATGAAAGCCTGAAGCTTGCAGAACAAGAAGCATATGCGATCTGTTGGATTTTTTGGGAACTAACTCGGCAAATACAGGTTTTAATGGCGGATGGCGATTCGCCGTCGCTTCACACAAAAAGCGAAACAGTTAATATCTTAAATATTAAAATTATTTGCCAATCCAGAAAACTTTTTGGGTTGTAGGACTAAATGACCTAATGTTTGATATACATGCAAAAAAAATATATTTGTTATAAATTTTTTAAAGTTCCTATTTCAACACCAAAATTATTTCACTTACGGATCTCTTCAATCCTAGTCCATTGCAAAATTGAGACAGCTTCCAAGCCATAGTAAAACATCGAGATATACTTTATCCAAGCCAGGTGTAAGGGCGCATCGCTGAAACATTCCAAAATAACGATTAGTGAGTGATTTCCAGAAAAGGGTTTGTAAACAAGATTACTTAAGTTAATTATTTTTAACTTTATCTAGTTTATCATCATGCATAAGCTATATTTTGAGTCAGCACTTTTGATTTTTGACAAATTTGGATTATTATGGAGTCTTATCTAAACCATACACTTAGCAACACAAGACCAAGTGGACTATGAGACTAAGGGAGTATGTTTTATCTATGACTAAACAATACCTAAACATATTCCATTCCATTCAAGGATGCTCCAAATTTATTGAAATAATAATAAGTCTAAAATTTTTCCTAAGGTCTCCGTATTGCTGAAACTCATAAATGGAATTCACAGTTTTTAAAATTATATTTGCATATTTTTCATGACAATGAATAGGGGCCAGAGGCCATTTTTTAAAGGAAATGGTTCAACCCCTTGATACAAAAAAAAGTAAGGAATGAGATTTTCTTGCCCAGTTAAAAGTTTTAGTGGAAGCGGAAACATAATTTAGTTGAGTAAAGTTCAGGAGTTCAGTTTCAAGTTTCTTGGTAATTAGTGTTAGAATTTGTCAGAGTATTATATACAGCTAGTGAAATAATTTGAATCAGCTGTTATATATTTTATTCTCTTTGTACTTGATGTTTCATTGCTGAGATTCAGTTATGATTTAAATACTTATTGTTGTGAGTTCAAATTGTAAATAAAAGTGTGTTGAAAGTAATAGCTATCTGATTTAACGTTTTTTAAAGCTTTTACCAACTTAAATACAATTTAATCTAATACTGATGTGAATTCCAACAATTAGTAAATATCAGTTAAAAATTATATTATTTTTACGGATCAAATTTAGTTTAAGTTAAGAGGATAAAATATACTTATTTCTTCCAGTTAGTTTTCATTCAAACCAATTAATAATTTTTTACAATAAGAAATATCCTTCCCCGCAGCAAACCTGCAGACTAAACGAATTTCCATTTGCCTGATTTGATTTTCAATTAAATCTATTTCATTAACATTGGGTTAACGACCTACCCAGGTTTGCTGCTACAGAGAGAGTAATAAAGTGTGTTTTTTGTAAAATAATTTTAGCTTAGTATAAAATAAATAGATTTGCCAAGTTTGATCAAAATGTATCCATAAGCAAGCAAACTGCAAAAGTTTACTTATTCTCCACAAAAATAACATTGGAATTTTAAATTAAAATTTTTTTTAATTTTCACCATATTTACACCATATTCACACATATTTAAATATATATAAAAATTAAAAAAAAAACATAGTTAACAAAGTTAAACACGCAAGAAAATAATATATAAATATATATGAATTTGAACGGATGGTGTTTTTGGCCTCTGGGGACATCAAAACGAATAAGTAAATCGGTCCCGGGTCCAGATCTTACCATGAGTCCTACGGTATAGCTTATTCCCTATGGGAAATTTCCTAAAAAAAATCATCTGTGTTATATATCATACTAGCTGTAACCCGCGGGCTTTGCCCCGTTTAACTTCTTAATTTTCAAGATGATCTCGTTCGCATGGCTCAATCACGTCCTGGTTGAAGTTCGTTCGCTACGCTCACTCACCTTTAGGTTGGAGCTCGTTCGCTGCGCTTGCTACATCCAGTCTCATGGTCTAGCCAAACCCCTGGTCTTTTTCCCATCTAACATCAACATCTTCTTAGCTAATCTTATTCAAGAGAAGAGAATATGCTAATTGTACCATAATTATTAGTCATATATAGTAATTTAGGGGCCATCAACATGAAATTCAAGAGTAGAAATTATTTACAGTACAACTTGTGATATTATTTACCTCAATGATAGAAAGATACCACAAAATAGTAGACAAACTTGTTCTATTGGTACTGAGACTAATGATCCAGTAGAGACAGATTCGAACATTGCTGATATCAAGCAACCTGTGGGAAGAACCAAATGTTAAATGTTTAATAAACAATACAGCTCCTTCTAACAAGTAATATTAACTTATAACTTTGATCATTGATAAAAGTAGACGTCTTAGTTCAATGTTTAAGCTATAGCCATTTTTATGATGTAGTTGAGTCACTGGCAAAATTTGCTGATGTAACTTACTGATTTCTGTTGGATACACAAACTTGTTAAAGACGTTTAGCCAAACTGAAAGAATAATTTAAACTATAAGTGGATACTAAAACATCTTTGATGACACATCACTATCAAAAGGGGGAGGCATCTTGAGGGTAGCAGACTGAGATTTTATTAGCACACTCATTTAGTAAATCAGTCCCCACGAAATATCTCGAGCTAGGAAAAAGAAAGCATGGCTGTTGAGGATTTATTTTAAAGCCAAAGGTCCAAGTACGGTGGGAAAAATATCAGAAGTTAAGTGTCATGGGTTTTATGGAATAAAAATTGTTTTTGTCTCATTTTTGACAGTCAAAACATCAAATTTTCCAATTCCTCTACACCATTTGAAAGAACTAAAAAAAAACAAATAATTTAGTATATTACAGTGTTTTGTGCGGTTTTTTGGTTACGGCGTAAATTGAATGAATTTGTAATTTAAAATTCCCATGTTATTCTTATGGAGAATAAGTAATCTGTTGTAGTTTGCTTGTTTATGGGTATAATTTGATCAAACTTGGCCAATTTATCTATTTTATACTAAGCTATTCGTATTTTACTAAAAAAACACACTTTATTACCGTCCCTGTAGCAGCAAACCTTGGCACTTATTAAACCTAATGTAGTTTAAATAGATTTAAATGAAAATCCAATACTGTACTGGTAAATGGAAATTCGCTTAGTCTGCAGGTTTGCTGCGGCGGGGGTATTATTAGATTTGAATGGTAATGCAGTGTTGAAATTTATCAAGTTAGGGGAAGACCACGACTATGACTACAAAGGAAAGTATTTAGGAATGATGCACAGCGTAGGGAATGGTTAAAAGGCCAAATTACAATGGAGCTGAAGGGCAGCAATAGCAATTGCTGCTATGGGCCTCTGGTTTTATTTAAATGTAAAATTGGGTACATGCAGCTGGTCCATATTTAGAACAAATGACTAAAAAAATTAATTGCTTATGATATTATTTTCTTTAACATCTGTGACTGTGATCATTTCCCTCGATAGCATCAATAACCAATGAAAATACACCCGCCGCAGCAAAACCTGTTGAATAAGCGAATTTCCATTTGTCTGAATTGATTTTCAATTAAATCTATTTAAATAACATTAGGTTTAACGAGTACCTCGGTTTGATGCTACAAGGAAACTAATAAAGTGTGTTTTTAGTAAAATATTAATAGCTTATCTTAGTACAAAACAAATAAATTTGCCAAGTTTGATCAAAATATATCCATAAACAAGCAAACTACAACATTTTACAATATTCTGCATAAGAATAAAATGGGAATTTTAGACTGAACTTACAATTTTTTGAATTTTCTCCGTTTTTAATAACCGTACAAATAACTTTGATAAACTAAATTATAATGTTTTTTTAAGCTCTTTAAAAAGGTTTAGAGAAAAATTGGGAAATTTTGTGTTTTGAGGGTCAAAAATGAGATAAACCGATTTTAACACCATAAAACCCCCAAAGGTTCCATCATGCTGGTTTGTGAACTCATTCATACACCTTTAAACCAAATTTTATCAAAATCGGACAAAAATTACTCAAGTTATGGGCGTTCACGGACACATATATAAATATAAATCTATATATTTATATATCATATATATATATATATATATATATATAGGCTATATAAGTTTATATTATGTATACAAATTTGAACGAATGGTGTTTTTGGCCTCTGGGGACATCAAAATGAAGAAGTAAATCAGCCCTGGGCCTAGGTCTTACCAAGCCCCAACGGTAATACCTACTTCCCTATGAGGAAATTTACTAAAAGCAAAACAACCCATCAGTTGCGGGGTTTGTCTTCCGCATCTAATACAACTTCTGTAATGCATTTGCAAGATTTCTGTCCTGAAAATTCCCCAAATTATTTTAATTCAAAAAAAAAACCTTAACGATATTTGGAGTTGAACATCTCTATATATATTTAATTACGTTTATTGCCGTGTTGCCGTGTACAAGCAACCGGGTTGTAGTAGCACAGAGAAGGGATGGCTGTAACTAACATATTTTTGATTCTCAAATACAGTTAATATAAATAATCATTAATCTTAAATTTTAAAAATATACTTCATTTGTGATATGGCTTGAACACATCTTTACATTTGAGTTATTTACCCCATGCAGTGGCAGTGATGGCACAGGCGATGATTGGCACACAGAACTGTATAAAGCCTGTAACTCCACCAAACAGTCCAGCAATGTAAAACACAGTAGCAGAGTAGAGGATGGGCTCTATCAGTGCTCTTGGCAGCTGCAAAAGTACAAGTTAGTACCGTAACTCTCAGCATGAAAAAACAAAGATTTCCAGGACAAGTATTTCAATGTCAACAACTCCCTTCCTACGTCATCAAGATGGCGGGTAGCTATTAAAATAATCGTTAGAAGTGCTCTCATTTATCATTTTAAAACAGTTAGGTTAGCCTACAATACATATATATATTTTTTATATTATTTAAAAGTGAATTATTAACTTACCTCTATTCATTTAGATAAACATTAGTGAAATAGTTGTGGGTGATAGTGAAAATCCCAGGACATTATCTGTCCAGCACAGTTAGAATGATAGAAAATTGGTTGTGCAAATATCCTGATGAGATTGGTCAAGGTCAGGATCGGCAAGTGCAAGAAGATTAATAAACAAACCATTAGTCGCACGCCCGAGTATTCATTTAGACACCCCACCCCCTAGCGGATCCAACAGATGCCAAAAATAGGTATTAGGTAGTTTTTATGACATGATAAAAGCCTTTGACACTTTAGAACACAAGGGTCTATTTTTGGACCCACAATGTTTATTGTTTATGTAAATGATTTACCAGCAACTCTGACAAATGTATGTGTGTCATCTTAAATGTATGCAGATGACTTGGCAATCCAGATTAATTGTCACAATGCTAGGCTAACTGACCAATTTTTAGATCAATCAAATGAAATAATTGAAGATTGGACTGCAGCTAATTTCTTGTGTTTAAATAAAAATAAAACACAAGTTCTTAAATTTAGTCTAAGTGATTATAAAGTTTTTGAAGATGTTAAATGTCTTGGTGTGTTGTTGCAACATAATATTAAAATATTTTAAGATTGTGTAAGAAAATGTCTAAAGGTATCTTTTTAGTTGGGCAACTTAGGTATATTGTTAGCTTATATATATTGATGACAGTACGTTGGGGGATGGGGGTGAGTTTATTGTGTTAGAGCTTTCTCTAAGATTGGGATGTGGGATGTTGGCAATCATAAGGTAAACCAACATAATTATAATTTGTTCTTGAATCTGGGAATACCACATAAAGACTACAAGATCGCGCCATTCATCCTACACTCATCTCCAATCATACTTGGCTTAATTATCTTCATCCAGTTTTAATTGAATGGTAAACATTTTATTGTTAAGTAGCCTATCTTAATTTATTTGTAACATCAACTAATCGAACAGGTTTTTAATTTGAATTTTTAAATTCTAGTATCAGGATTCGATCATTGAATCCAACTGCTGGTTAATATGACCAAAATTAAACAGCGAATTCTGTTTACTCAGTTGAGATTACAAAATAAATAAATAAAAATAGGCTACTCAATTAGAAAATGTTCACAATTAAATAAAAATAGAAATAAGAAAATCAATCATTCTAAATAATTTCTATATCCGGCCAGGGGGTAAAATTCTGGGGGGTAAAAATCCGGGGGTAAAAATCCGGGGATAAAATTCCGGGGGTAAAAATCCAGGGGTAAAAATCCGGCCCGTACATCATCAGTTGTCTAAAAGCTAGTTATATGGACAGGGGGTAAAATTCTGGTTTTTATTGCTAATCTAATTAATCACGCTCTGTCTTTTTCATTAGACTTCCAATTCCGCGGGGGTAAAATTCTGCCTGCGAACTAACTTTTGAGCGCTCAGGTTACTACGTCATAGTGACGCCAGCTTTGCCCAGGGGGTAAAATTCCAGGGGGATAAAATTCCGGCGAGCCTTGAAACAGCTAGCAAAATTCTTTAATTCATTTTCAATATGAATACAGTACTCATAAGGTTAACTAACATGGGAAACTCTAGAGCCACTGGGGCGGAGCCAGAAATTATTTTTGAGATAAGAATATGTCATGAAGATGTTAATCGGAAATGTGAGCTATCATCATACTAAATTTCAACCCACTCTGACCAGTAGTTAATGCGTGATTGAACTTCAAACAAACAAACACAAACACTTTCACATCTATAATATTAGTATGATCATCTCTATTGAAACTTAGTATATACAATGTAAATAATTTTGTAGATTATTTTACCAGCCATCAGGCTATGACTAAAGTGATGTACAAGTAATATATTGTTTATTCTTGACGATGCCATACATGTAGTTGATTGTGTAAAAAACACAATAAAGATTTTGATTTGATTTGATACAAGCAAGGAGGACTTAACAGTTAACACACATCACATAGCATACCTGAGATGCCTCTTTTACTTGAGCCAGTTTCTTGGGAACATTTCCTAAGGAAAACTCTCCTTTATAAAGGGGGAAATCCCCAAAGGGTTGAATTAAAAGGTACCTAGTACACATAGTAAAGTAGTGATTTGTTGTGACCTGCAGCTCCACTAGGTGTAGCACCTCCGGTCCTGGACCAAGAAACCATGGAAATGGAGACCTCATCAAAGGGGGAGGAGGTGAAGGAACCAGTAGGTACCACACCACCCGACCTCGCACAAGATAGCAAAGAACGGGAAAAGGAGAAGGAGACAGAGAGGGAAAGTGATAAGGTAAGAGTGGCCAGCTCTCATCACTTCCCGATCTTCAGGAAAACCAGACAAGAGAAAAGGGAGGAGAGGTTTACGGGACCCTCAGTCAGGTCTGATAGAAGCTCGAGAAAATCCAGACAGAGGGATTCAGGGTATCATCCTCGCGGAGGGAGAGGAGGACATCACTCCTCCGAGAGGGGGAGGGGGAGTGATCATAGGGATTAAATTCCTACAAACAAATCTCCAGCACAAAAAAGATATACAAGACATAGAAACTATACAAGAATCAACAATTGCAACAGATGCTAAGAGTACACTTCCCGGAGAGCTGTCCCATAGGGGAAGGTGCCAATTGGCCTCGCCCAGGGAGGTCCCCTAGGGAGGTGGCACTAGCCAGACGGGCGTCGGGAAAGATATTCAAACCAGAGGTTGTGAAATGGGCAGTAAACTCATTCTGCCCTTTCAAACCTCCTGGTAGAGATGGGATATTCCCTGCTCTCTTGTAAGGAGGCCCTCCTCGTTTCAATGTATAGGGGCAGTTATGCCTTGGCATATATAACAACTAGATAAAGAAGAGCTAGAGTGGTGTTCCTACGAAAGAAAGGAAAAGAACCAACTCAGCCAAAATCCCATAGACCAATATGTCTAACCTCATTCATTGTAAAGGCTATGGAGAAGATCATTACCAGGCATGTGAGGGATGAGATTCTCACGAACTCGAGCCTGAATGTGAATCAACATGCCTTTATGATGGGGAAATCGACTACAACAGCGCTTCACAGCCTGTTAGCAAAAATTGAAGACATGTTATGTCACAAGGACATTCTTGCAGGAGTCTTCATGGATATCCAAGGAGCCTTTGATAATGTGTCCTAACAGTCAATAGAGGAAGCACTGATAGACAGAGAAATTCCTCAAGAAGTCGTGTGTTAGATGGCTCTGCTGAAAAGCAGAGAAATAACAGCCACGGTCGGCGACATGTCAGTCACAGTCGAAGCCAGAAGAGAGTGTCCGCAAGGAGGAGTTTTAACTCCCTACTATGGACACTCGTGGTTGACGGCTTGCTGAGGGAAGCTGAACCTACAGGCCTTTGCCGATGATCTAGTGCTGACTGTGAGAAGGAAATACAAAGGTACTATTACCCAGTGGGCGGTAGATTTCATCGACAACTGAGATAGTGACCTTCACGACGAAAAGGAGAACCAGAATCACCCCACCCCACATAAGGGGAGTGGGTGTCAAGTCAGTCAAGGAGGCTAAATATTTGGGTGTATACTTAGATCAGAAATTGACTTGGAACAGCACATAGATCATGTCATTGCCAAAGGAACAGGAGCCATGGGCGCCTGAAGAAGAACATTTGGCAAAAAATGGGGACTCAACCCGAGACTGATCTGGTGGATATATGAAGCCATATTCAAGCCTATGGTGGAATACACAGCCCTGGTGTGGTGGCAGAGGGCATAGCAGACTGGGGCAGCTGATAAGCTGCAAAGACTTGCCTGCACAGGGGTATGTGGCACAACAGTCATGATGGAGCCAATTCTAGGCACACTTCCACTCAGACTGTATATAAAGAAAAGGACAACACCAACAGCCCTGAAGATACCTCCAAAAGGGGAAATAAGCCTCTTGATAGGTCTTCTTTCAGAGCATAGTCATGTGAGGAAGTACCTCAGAACAATAAGGCTTATACAAACGGATCAGTGCAGATTCTGCCTCTCCAAAGCGGAATCTGCTGAGCACATATGGCTGGAATGTCCGGCTTTAGCCCAGAAGAGGTTGAAATACCCAGGAAAGGCGTTCCCGATGTCTACTGAAATACGAGAAATGGGTGATAGGCTTCGCAAGGAGACTTCAGTTGGTGAACTGATCTAAAAGGATGCTACAAAATATCTTTCAGGTCGAGGTAGCAAGGGGTAATGCTACCCCAGCCCTAAAAAAAAAAAAAAAATAGAATCAAACTATATAATAAAGTAATTTACCATGAGAGCACTGACAAAAATTTATCTAAATAACAGCTAATTACCGGTATGCGTTACAGTATACCATTTACATAACCCTAATAGTAAAAATACCCCCGCCGCAGCAAACCTGCAGACTAAGCAAATTTCAATTTGTCTGATTAAATTTTTACTAAAATATTTCCATAAATAAGACATATTTATTCCCTATTTAAATAACATTAGATTTAACGAGTGCTTAGGTTTGCTGCTACTGGGAAGGTAAAAAGTGTTTTTTGACCATACGTCAATAGTATAGGATGAAATAAATAAATTTGCCAAATTTTATCAATATAAAATTTGACAAACACACACACATAAACAAGTAAACTACAACAATTTTCATTTTCTCCATAAGAATAACATGGGAATTTTAAATTGCACTATTTTTTAATTTTCTCCGTGACCATTAGGCATACAACAGCGCTTCAATATACTAAATACTTCAATATACATTTTTACCCCATAAAACCCCCCATAAACCCCCGTTCCCATGATCCGATTATGCTGGATCGCGAACTCGTTCAAATAAACGTAGGTTTACACGTTTGTACCAAATTTCATCAAAATCAGATAATTTTTGCTCAAGTTATCGCGCTAACGGACACATATATATATATGTGACTAAAATGGTGGATTGTTCGCCGTGACCGCGAAGTCATATATATATATATATATAGATATATATATGAATTTGAACGAATGGTGTTTTTGGCCTCTAGGGACCTCAAAATGAAAAATTAAATCGGCCCCGGGTCCAGGTCTTACCATGAGTACTACGGTAATAGCTTATTTCCTATATGGGAAATTCGCTAAAAAAATAGTATATTACGTTACTAGTCCTGAAAGTAAGTGTTTACCGGACGAGTGTGGTCGTTCCCGTGCGAGACGAAGTCGAGTACGGGATTACCATACGAGTCCGGTAAACACATTTTGGACGAGTTACGTACGATATTTTACGCCATACTACTTAATCCGTACGAATCCTTATATATTTCCACCAACTAAAGGACTAAAAATCACTAGTCATAACCTCTAAGAGAGGTTATGTTTTTGCTTATAACCAATTATTGCTACCTACGCAAATACAGTATAATCAGCTGATTGGTGTCCGGTAAAACTCATTGCAGAACAGTATCACGCAATGAAACCCCATTTGAATAAGCTGGCGGCAAACAGCTGTTTTCTGGACTGAATCCTTGCGTGGGAAGTTCGTCTAAATAATGTAGTGTGGCGTAAAAAAACATTTCGAGTGTATAGTGCGAAAGAGACGGAGGATTCATGTCGATGCAGGCTTTGTCTCTACTGATAAGACTGCCAGCAATGCAGGTTGGACAACCAAATATCGGGATAAAGTATCAGATTATCTAGAAAAGTGTAAATCTTCTGTTTGAAACACAACTTTAATAGCAGTTCATGCTGTACATACCAGAACTATCATCTTGGAGACATAGTAAGGTCCAGGAGTGTACAGTCCGTTGCCTATTTCTCTCAGTAACACAGGTATCTCTGATGGGAATGTATGAAACACACTGTAGGTGAATGTGAAGATAGTTTCCACCACCACCAGGTACAAGCATCCCTGCATGTTCTGTATACCAGCCTGGTCTACTGATAGACCTGTGTATGGAGTGGATATCAGCAGTGCGATGAACTGCAAATCAAGTTAAAAAACGTTTTTTGAAAAAAAATATCAAAATTGATAAACAATAGATTAATATCTCGCCCAGGCAAATACAACAGTTTTCAATAGTATTACAGTAGTTAAGAGTCATCCTTTATAAAACTTTTGTTGCTTAAAGGACGGGGATTCGCAACTTAAGTTCAAGGCGAACATGTATGAATAACAAAACAACAGTTAGATACAGTTTAGGTCTACTTGACTGAATTGTTAATTTTATCTGTAATGGTTCATCAACATATTATTAACAGATAGTAGTTGTATCATACTTAATTCTAAGTTTTATAGCTTTTATAAAAACACACATCATGGTTTGTTTCAAACCAAAGCAAACATAGGAAAAATATTAACTTAAATATCATTAAAATGTAACAGTAAAAATACATGTTGTACCATATAGAAGGCGAGTCGTAGAAGCTGTTCCTGGGGGTTTCGGAATATTTCAACAAATGACCTCCAAACAAGCCAGTAAAGCTGGGTAAAGAGTTTCGGCGTTTGGCTGAAAATATAACAAATTAAGTCTTACAACTTGAAAAATAATGTTAGCCTATATTGGTTAAATAAATAATATAAACTGACAGCCAGAAAATGATGCCTTTAATAGGAAAACAAAATATCCCTTTAAAAAATATCACTCAAAAGTGCTTACTGAAAACAATACCTAACAAATCTACTTATTTTACTTTTTCAACAATGTAGAATGTACAGTCAATGTGAAAGTTTATTTCCACAATCAAATAAATAAATGTATGTATATCCAATGTGAAAAACGTGTTAACATTTAAGATTTACTGACAAAAGAAACTGTGTCTATTTGATTACTGTCTAAACCCGCAGTCCCTATGCATTTCCTACTCTAACCCTGCCTAAAAGGTGTATTTAATTTATATATTAGACTAAGAGGAATAAATGGTTTTTTTTTTTGTGTGTGTGAAAATAGTATCAAGATAACCATTAGGCAGTCAGTTTGGAACTCTTAGGCAGAAGCCCATGTGATAAGTTTTGTTTATATTGTATTGCTGCATAATTGTTAAAATAAAGATTAATTTGATTTGAAATACTTCAAGCTATTAAAAATACAATTTAATTGTAATGTTTAGTTGAGCAATACTTACATATTCACATACTTCTGAAATTCGTCCTCCAACTGAAAAAAATATGACCATTAAAAAATAGGGAAAGTAAAAATAAAAGAAACGTCTTATAACACTTAAAACATATATTTACGCTTACTGTTACTCACAAGACAGAACATATACAAAAAGATAAATGGTGGTCGATTTCAATTGGACAGTCCAATCATCATCAGACCCAATAGGCGAATGACGAATGTGGCGAATAGGTGTCATTGGCCTATTAATTGGGTCTGATGATGATTGGGGTGTCAAATCAAAATCGATCACCATTACCATCTTTTTTGTATATCTACCTTCTTGTGAGTAACAGTATAAGCGTAAATATAGGTTTTAACTTTAAGTGTTATAAGATGTTTCTTTTATTTACTTTTCGTAAATTTATCACGTACAATGCTGATCAGTAAGTTATTCATTAAAAACTATTTTAGGACATAGATGTATACATTGATGCAGATTATTTTCAATAATCTTTGGTCCATGTTTCCAGGAACGCTATTTTTCAATAGCATTTTCAAAGAACTCAATTTTAGAACCAACCAACAGAAAAATACCTTTCTTCACAGCAAAAAGGTAATCATAACAAACAAAATAACATTGATACACACTCCTACATATAAACATTGGAAGCATTATAGCAAACAATTAATGAAACACACATAGCACAATTTTCTATAAATATGTGAACAAAAATTACTGACTGCCTTCAAACAACTGCAAACATTAAATAACGAGCAGCAACAATACCAGCAACAATAAACACAACAATTGTTTACCATAGTATAAATGGCATTATAACCAAAATGAACAAAAGCTGTATATTACTTACTTCTCCGTAGTGTGCTACACCGTTGCTGACTTCTAGTATGTTGTTGTGCCTCTTGCGGTTTTTCAATTTCTCAAGTTTCTTCTCATGCTCTTTTCCAACCTCAGACTCCAGATACTTGGAACATATTCTTTGAACCTTGGATTGAGACTCTGGCTGGTCGGTGACATTTAGTTGTGACACTAGGAACTCTGCCAGGTTATAAGAAGTGGGACAAACAATGTCTAAACTGTAAAAAATAAATTATCATTTAATGCATCATCAATTACTCAGTTAACATCATGTCAATTAGGATACATGTACGGAGATAGGAGAAATACCACTGATAGTCACACCACTGTTAAAAATAACAAAGCGACAGTGTTGGAGCATGGGTTCTTGTCACGCACATCCCGCTTGCCACTCTCATTGACTTGATCTATACTTGTGTAAACTCACCTCACAATATATTCATTTTAGGCTAGGCCTATTCTATAAATGTTTAAAGTTAATAAGTTAACAAATGATATACGAATTACAAAAGGTATTTTATTGAAACAAATGAACAAACATGCAACGAAATTTAAAAGGCTAAGTTACGTTGATGAAAGGACTGACAATGGAGTGTGGGCTGAAATTAAAATAAAATAGAAGATAAGTTTTAAATAAAGGTTCAAATTGACAATAGTATAATTTAGATGTGCTATATCTCAGGGTAGGGTGTCGTGCTGGCTTGAATGCTAAGAATTAATATATGAAGTAGTGTCCAAATAATTAAGGTGTTTAACTTACAAAATCCCAACAATGAAAGATCTAATTTTGAGGTTGTCCAAAAGGTAAGTCCAATGTGCACTGAATTTAAAAGAGTTTAAAAGAAAAAGTTTATACTTAATTTTGAAAATAATGTTGGAGTTAGTCCTCTTGAGGTTGACTATAATATAACTTGAATATAAACTGGTTTTTCTTGATGATATTGATTAATTTAATTTAGATAAAATCTGGACTTCTTCTTTTAACAGTTTCAACTTTCAACTATCGCTTCCCTTCTCCCTCAATCTCAATGTTCACATAGGTCTATTGTTGAACACATGGATCACTGTTTCACTGCTTCTTTAATTTTGATTCCTTAAGGACTAATTTTGAAATAATATTATAAGAAATTTTAAAGTATTGCAATTCTCTTACATATTTAATAAATAACTATAAATAAATTTAATGAATATTAGGCCAGCTTTTCTGAGGAGTGATTAATAACAATGGTGTATGAACAAAAGTTAACATATTTTAAGAAACTTAATACTAAATAATAAATGAATGAAATGAAATATTACTCTTGAATATAAGAGATGTCACTTCCCATCTGGTTGGTGGGAAATAGTGACTTAAAATGAGAATGAATTTTCTAGGATACCTGGGCGCCTGTGCAGGAGTAGGCGAAAAGGGTTATTGCCCTCCTGAGAAAACTCTTTTTTTTACTGTTATCATTTAAATAAAGTACTAGCAGCAAAACCCAGCTTTTCCTGGGTACAATTATACAACGTACAATAAGTGGTTAGCCTATAGAATAATTTTTGTTTTGTTTTCATAGATGTACACCTACGTATCTTGGTACTATTTATTAATCTAGAAATATGTTAAATATCCTTATAGCAACTAAAATATTAACAGCAATTAAATTATCCAGCTGATCATAATGTAAAACAAATATGTTCTTCATAAGGATAACATGGGAACTTAAAAGCCACTGGGGCAGAGCCCAAGGGACTTTTTCAAAAATGTTAAGCCAGTTTGAAAATTTACACACCTAGACAAACATTTTGGTATATAATATGTGGGGTTAAGTCTTAAAACAAAAAAGCTGTTCACAAAGTTTCATGTAGCGTATTAATAATATAGAAGATGTAACATACAACACTAAAGGACCTCTTGACTCATGCATTAAGACACATGTTTACCCCACCCCCTCCCCTTAAGCTGGGTTTTCCTAGGGGCGGAGAGTGGAGAGAGGAACGCCGAGAGTGGAGAGAGGAACGCCGAGAGTGGAGAGAGGAACGCCGAGAGTGGAGAGAGGAACGCCGAGAGCGGAAAAGAGATTAAACACGGTGTTCCGCTCTGCTTCTAGGAAAACAGTAACATTAAATTACCTAAAGCCGGGTTTTCCTAGACGCGGAAGTGGAGAGTAGAGAGAGGAACGTGGAGTGCGGACTCCACTTGTCTTAGGCAATTTAATGTTACTGTTTTTCTAGAAGCGGAGCGGAACACCATGTTAATCTCTTTTCCGCTCTCTGCGTTCCTCTCTCCGCTCTCCGCTTCCGCGCCTAGGAAAACCAAGATTAAGACAAGTGGAGTCCGCTCTCCGCATTCCTCTCTCTGCTCTCCACTTCCGCGTCTAGGAAAACCCGACTTTAAGATAATTTACTGTGGACACCAGCACTGAGCCTGGAATTCTATTTTCTTCAATGAAACTAATGAAAATCTGTTAGTTGAACTTAAGCTAAATGTTTATTGAATTAATTCTAATTATGAGCTATAATAAAACTATTATGAGTACTAATAGTACTAACTTGTTGAAGTGTTGTAGTGCGTGCTGTGGGTCGCCCTGGTAAGCCAGTTCTCCTCCAGGCGCTAGCAGTATGACACTGTGGAACATGTCGAAAATGCCGGACGTAGGCTGATGGATGCTGCAGATTACAGTCTTGCCTCTCACTGCTAGACTGCGTAGTCTCTCCACCACAGCGCCTGCGTTGTAACTGTCTAGACCTGTAGTCGGCTCATCACAGAACAGCAGCGCAGGGTCTGTCAGCATCTGTATGGATAAGATTCATTTTAATTCTGGCAAAACTGTGGCTACTAATCACGAAGACCCGATAACAAGGGAGTGGTTTAGAGGAAATGATACTGGCCGAAAGTCTAGAGGATACCATTTGTGTTGAAGAGACAGGTTTCTTTTTAAATGCACCCCAGACCAATCTCTCACTTTTAAGGACAAGAAATGTCCTGTGGGCAAGTTTAGCAAAGAAAGTGTTTGTTGTTGGAGGTTGGGAATATAAATAACTTAGATCAGAAAAGCTGACTCTTTTTTTAATAGTTGAAGAGAGCTAACTGTGAAGCTATCCTCTTTTTAGATATCTGCACCTTACAACTTATATGACAAACGTGACTTTTTTCCCCCTGATGTAATTTCAGTTGTCCAGCCTATGGTTAAAATGGGCGTTATCGAGTATCTATTATTTTTACAGACATGTTGGTAAAACATATTTCAGCAAAGCGTTGTGATAATTAAAAAATAAGGTTCCTTAAGGCCACTCATAATATGTAAAAGACCAGTGAATTTTTAAAGCTAACAAAACTGGAGTGGCAGCAGTTAAATTTAGAGCAGGCAAATTAACAAATGTTAGTACCGATTGATTTCATTTGTGTTCTAAAATGTGGTGAGGTAAAAGACAAAGAGGTATAGTACGAGTGCTTGACAAGAAAGGATAAGACAACAAAGCAACAAGACATCCAGTCACAAGTTAAGAATGGAATTACTTACTGTTGAAAGAGTCAGTGCTTATCGGATTATTTAAAGGGACTCAGGTAGGATTTTAAGAGTAAACTGGAGAAAAGTAACTTTTTTCCTACCAATTAGCATTTCATTCTTCCGTGTTATTTAAATACAGAAAACAAATAACAAATGTATATCCCTAAATAACTGTAAATCCTCTACCCTCAAATCAAGACAGATGGCAATAAAATAGGATCCAAACCTGAACAGCAAGTGAGACTTTTTTGGTTTCTCCACCTGACAGAGCCGACAGCCTGGTAGTGCTGCATTTGGCCAAACCAAGCTCGTTGATGAGTGTCAAAACTCTTCGGTTCCTGTGGGACGTCCTCAGACGACGATCCATCTTCAATCTAGCCTGGAAGTAATATTAATTATTATAATACCTTTTTTTAAACACACGAAAACAAATCAAATAAACAAACGGTATCAGCAATCTGACAAATACATTCTTTTAGCTTGTTGAAAATGAGCGAGGATTGAAAAGACACTTTTTTCCTGTGTTATGAACTATATTTTTTGTCAAATTGCTCCATTATTTAAACAATCTAAGCTACGAAATGAAAATACTTATCATGTAAAGTTAAGCTGCTCCTAAAATGGCTTTTTCTTGTTTTGAACCTTGATACAGTATTGTGAACAGACAGTTGTTTATAATATAGTGTAGTCATTTAAAATCAAAATTTCTCCATTACCTAAAAAAACTCTTATAAGTGTAAAACTTGGTACGTATATTGAGTTTTACTTCCAGAATAGCATACTAAAAGTCCTCGAAAAAAAAAAACTTGTGTTACGGCCGCCATCTTGGAAAATGGCATCCAAAAACCAGTTTTTCCCCTATTACTCAAAAACTATTCATCCTAAAAAAAAAAATTAAATGTAAAAAATGTTCACCAAAGAAAGAGCTACAACTTTTGTATTTAGAGTATTTCTATATAAATAACAATTTAGCCATAAAATGCAATATTTAGAAAATAAATTTGAAAATTCGTAAAAGAACATTAATTGTGATTAAAAAAAGTTTTAAATAAACTATTAAAAAATGTATTTTATTATTTGTATTTTAAAACAGTTCAACAGTTTCATGCCATTAACAAAACTTTTCCTTTCCATTTATATTTGCTTTGACATTTTAAATGGTATACTCTTGGTGCTTTCGTTGATAGACTACCATAATAATCCCATACTGAGTTCATTATGGTACAAGGATGGGATTTGGTATATGGATGTTTTATTTACCTAGTGGAATAACATAACAAAAGCCCTCGCAAAAACACCTATGCATTGGCAATTATCTTAGTAATCAATTATCTTAATAATCATACAATAATAAATTCTTTAAAAAACATCATCTCTATTTCTTCTACTCAGTGGCATTCTATGACTTTTAATGTTTCCATAGTTTGCAAATCGGTTCTTCCAATGATTGTCAAGAAATATAGTACTGTGTAAATTCAATGTTCTCATTTGGATAATATTTTAAATTGTCTAGGCTTTCTCACTTTTTTTCATTGTACAGTAATATGTATGCAAACCCAAATTCAAAGAGTAAATATTTAATTTCAACCAAGTCAGTAAGATGGTAAGATTTAGTTTTTGTAGGACGCATTTCCTTAAATTGCAACTTAAATATTAACAGCAATTAAATTATCCAGCTGATCATAATGTAAACAAATATTATCTTCATAAGGATAACATGGGAACTTCAAAAGCCACTGGGGCAGAACCAAAGGGATTTTTTTTTTTCAATTTAAGGTCAGTTTGCAAATCTACGCGACACGCTCTTTCTAATGAGACGTCAATGGTCAAAATTGATTATGGCGAAGGAGTTCAAAGGATAAATTTTGTGTTGGCGTATTAATTATATGGATTGAATTGTTAAGATATTAGAATTTTGTTTGTGTTTACTATGTTACTCCCCCATTTATTGGTAGATATGTTGAACTATTAGATATATCGAGAGTTTTCTTAACTCAGTTAGTGTGATTAACTGCTTCCTTGTGTCATCCATCTTCTTATATTCAACGTAAACAAACTTAGATCCAGTACACAACAATGCAACAATGAAAAAATCGATTGAAAATAATCATACAATCAATTGCTTCCAATCAAAGTGAACAAGTGATCAAAATATACTGATGACGTAATCAACTGCACCAGCTGATTTTCACTCCCTAGGAAGTAAAAAGTATAACTGTCCTTTTAGAGGGCTGTGTTTGTGTTATTTTTTCATGGTAAAAAAAGGCCAATTACCTTAAAGAAGTCCAAATTTTAGAGCTAAAATTGAGCCCAGATAAGGGTGTAGACTACAGTGCATTTTATACTTTATTCATTGATGATTCCCTATGGTGTTTGCCATTGCTTATTAATATCAGCAAACTTACATTAGTACGAAGACATGATGGCATATTTAAAAGCTATTCCTGAAAATGAAACCCCAAAAGTTTCCCTCTAAATATTTAACTTGGTAACCCTAATACAAATAAGAACTACAAAATAAATATCATATAGTAGGAGATATCCACAAACCACTATGAACCTTTTGATAAAAGAGGCTTGACATAACCATCGATGTATAATAACTCCCCGGATTGCGCGCTCAGGTTGAAGTAGGGTTCTGAAAACGGGCCGTCGCTACCTTGCTCTGTCCACCAGGAGTGGGGATAAAGGCATGACTCACCCTAGTGCCGAGCGTCGCGTCCGCTCTCACCACGTATTGCTATAATAGTTTTGTGGAAATATTACAAGTAAAATTGATTGTAACGAACTTAAGGAGGTTTCATAAACAGATATAATTAATCTAAGTACTTGCTCACACTTTACAGACTGTATCAAAATTAAATCTCAGAAGAAATTCAGTGATGTTATGAAAGAGTTTGATTTGTTTACATTTGAACATTGGCTAGAATAAAATACTACAATAATTATTTGATCACATAAGCATGTCATCATTTGCTGCTGTGAGCCCCAATTATTATTGAGAGACTTTGCAACATGTAATAATTTACATTTTGTTTATATTACTGAAGCTGTTTATGTTACTTATTGTTTATTTGTCACACTGTGATTAACATGTTTTATATATTAAAAAAAATATATTATATGTAGGGATGGACGAGATTGGATTTTTAGTTCGAGACGAGACGAGACGAGATTTTTTATTTCTCATAAAATTTCGAGACGAGATCGAGACGAGATTTCTCTTCTCATACACAACGGGAAATGCACGTTCGAAATTTTTACCTGATTTTGTAACATTGTTAGATGACTGTTTAAATACTAAAATAATGATAATAGGCAAGAATATTTACAATCTTTCATTAAATAACATCAGCATAACATTTTTTTATTAATCACGCCTAACTTATTAAAAATGCCTACGATTAGGAAACATGGTGATATCAGTTAGGATAGAGTTCAACTTATCCTAAAATAAAATAAATCATAAAATAAAAGCAATATTAATTTTTATAAAATAGTTACTTGTTTTGACTTTTTTTATAGTAATAAAACATTCCTCATACTGCTTACACTTAACAAAACTTCTCAAATGTTATTAAAGTAATATTATTAAAATAATAAAAGTAATATTTACATTAAAAGAATTAAAGTAACATTTACATTAAAAGAATTTATTAAATAAGAACGCCTTCGAAAAGGAAACGCAACTACAACACGCTCCTGTATTGCGGGTATTGCATTGACTTTCTGCAGGCGTTTTTAATTTTTTTTTTTTTTTTTTTTTTATTCTCGTCTCGATAAAAATCTCGGCCAAAAAGTAATCTCGTCTCGTGTAACGAGATTGAAAATTTCCCGAAAATTTCCCGAAATTTCGAGACTTGACCATCCCTAATTATATGTTGTTAAATAAAAGGAGTGTATAATATTTGATGCCATCAATATCTCCAATTCATTGATTATTCTCAGTGAAGTAAAATAATTACAAAATATTTTCTTAGCTTAATATTAAATACTACTGTGAATCCAAAATCTTTGATTCAAAGATTTTTTTTAACTATAGACTATGGAAAGCAATAAAATGCAAAAACATACGCTTGTAAATTTAGTTACCCATTCTTCGTAATGTGATGACATATTTTATGTAATATATAATGATAATTAAATGACAGAAACTCAGTATCTAAATCCCGTAAACTGATGCCTAGCCGGCCGAGCTCTTAGCACCAAAGCCGCGCCAAGCGATTATTCATGCCTATTTTTAATCGCTTAAAAATTATACAAGCAAACTCTGTATCAAAAGAAGCTTCAAATAAAATATAAAATTCATACTTTAATCTAAAAATTTTCCTGACCAAAAAATAAAAAAGTTTCTCGCTTACTAAATTTTTCATGTTTTTAGTGGTGTTAAAAAACAATCATCAGTTTAAGGTTAAAACTAACTACATAGTAATAAGCACTGGTTTTTCCAGAAAAATAGAATATCAATTTTAAATGTGGATGTTAACAAACAAATATAGCAGAGTAGATTGAGTGAACGTATGTTTGTGTAAAACAGAGAGGTACATTCGGCCCGCCTCAGTATCCCACCAATTCGAATGGTGGGCACGGACCATTTTTCCACCACACAGTGCGCTAACCAGTAGAGTATTATACATCGATGGACGTAACAGATTACACCTAAATCATGAACTGACCATGAGTTGCATGTGCTCGAGGACAGTGAGGCCCTTCAGAGTCAGGTCCTGTTGTGGTACAAAGCCTGACACTCTCGTCATCAGCTGTTGAGTCACCTGGTTTCCATTGAGCAGAATCTGGCCGTAAACATCACCTAGATAGGAAGAAACAGTTATAGGTTCATTACGTCTCTTTACACAATACCGTGGAGATGTTATTGTAGCAAATAATGTTGTGTTCAATGGCTGTGCTTATGGTATTAGAAAAATATTATACATTTTTGATATTTTTCAAAAAATTATCCAGGATTTTTGTGCTACTAATGGACCTGAAGAAAACTCTATTGTCATTAGAGCAAACTAAATTTTGTTGTCTATACTAAGAATTATCATATAAGAACATTTGTAGTTTCAGACATAAGCTATTTTTGCCTAAAGTAAATGTTTTGTCCTCACCTTGAAGCCGCTGACTGATGGTGGCCAACAATGTTGTCTTCCCTGCTCCACTGAAAAATACCACCTCAATTTTTATTACTATTTATTAATAATATTTGTATGGACTTACTTGAGTATGTTATCTGCAATGTTGAGCCCATACTCCATCATCAAGATATATTGTGTGAGATTCATATAAGCCCAAAAGTGGCTTTACTACCCTTGTACTGAGACGTAGAGGCTAATACCACTAGACTAAGCCATTTGTTATGGCAGTTATAACAATATAATCAGCTATGTATGTAAATATTAAATACTAGAGCTAATTTTATTTTTTTATACATCCTAAGTAGCTAGTATTTTAAAATTAAAATCTTTTCTATGTAATTTTGTAAATAAAATTGCTATGTATGTAATAATTGTAAACAAATTGTTTTTCTTAAAAATAAAACAAAACACATTATTTATTCTCCACTGCAACAATACTAATGTAAAGTAAAGTATTGTAAAGTAAAATCTAAACTTAAATCTTTCTACAACTTAATCTAGAGTTCTACTGGACCGATTTTATGTTGGAAAGCTTAATTTGAGTAGATTTGCAAATAATTATGAAAGTTTGTTATTGTGGTGAAAAATTAAAAAAAAAACACGTTTTCCATAAGAAATACATTTAAAACGGGGGTTTTCACACTTTTTATTTGTATGAGACTTTTGGCTGCCTTTTTTGAGTCTTTCAAAGAAGTACATGGTATTAATTTGTAGGAAATTTTATTCTCTTTCAGGATATCAACTTACACTTTGGTCGATTTCCTCACCATTTAAAAGTTATTTTCAAAAAAGCTAAGCAACCTCCAAATTTTAGTAATAAGAAAATAATGAGTTAGTGGTTTTTTTGTCAATCTTTGTACAACTAAATCTAGACTTCTACTGGACCAATTGTGTTAGTTTGGAAAGCCTAATTCGTGTAAATTTGCAAACAATTATGAAAGTTAGATTTTATTATACATTTGTGAAAAAAACAAGAATACATTTAAAACGACTGTTTTTCAAGTTTCTATTTCCAAGTTTATATTTCAAAGTTCATATTTGTAGCTTTGGGCTGCCTGTATTGAGTATTTTCAAGAGATACATAATAGTAATTTTTAGGAAATGTTATTCACTATCAGAATATTACCTTCCACTTGACTTCTACTGGACCGATTTTATTAATAAGAGGTCTTGGGATAACCTTATTTTTTAGATTTGCAAATAATTATGAAAGTTTGATTTTTTTAAAGATTTACAGAGTGAAACCCGTAAAAGCCGACAGTTACTGTTGAGGTTTCAAGCAAGATCATTTAACTATAAATCAATGATAAATAACTCCATTTTTGGAACAATTTGGATTGTTCGTGATTCAGTAGTGTGCTTTAGGTATCGTAGGTGTGACTTTAATAATCAATAATTCAAATGAAAGCTAGTATTTTTACTGAGGGTTCTTGGATCAAAACATATAGGATAACGTAATAAAAATTGAGTATATACATCTAAAATTCAATTTCATATCTGAGATATAATCAAATTTATGTTTTTTTATTGAGTGATATTTAGTATCTTAAACTTAACTGATTTAAACAATCAATATATCAAATGAAAGCCTTTATTTCTAGTAAGTAGTATTTTAAGACCAAGACAAATAAAATAACTGAAATGAAAATATTGAATTGATTACAGATAAGTCCTAAAACTATTATAATTATTGTTGATTCGTGATTCAGCAGCGTGCTTCAGGTACGTATGATCTTAATAATCAATAGCTCAAATGAAAGAAGGTTCTTAGACCAAAACATATATATTATAATTTAATTAAAACTGCTGAAATACATCTTTAATTGAAATAAACATTTAAAAAAAATCTAATTTATATTTTTTAGTTGTGTAATAGGTACATTAGATAAATGAATGATGATTCTTGATGGCAAATTTTTGCTTCCATAGCTTTATTTTAAGACCAAAATTATGAAAATCGGTCGGACATAAGAGCCAAACGAGCTCGGAAAAGAAAACCAAATTTAACTCCCATATGAAATGTACAGGGAGTAAGTTGCTTTTGTGCATAGCTCAAAATATACGTCAGATAAATGAATGCCGATACTTCAAATGTCAAGCACAATTTTGAGGTTAGGTTCCTTCCACAATGCAACACTACAGTAATATCGTTATTCTATTAAATTTTTACTAAATCCAAGACAAAACCCCACACTACACTAAATTTGGAATAGTCCCCAACACCAATGACATTGTCGGATCTGAAAACGAACTATACCAGATTGAAGTATAAAACTGGCACAACAAGTGGCAAGCGAAACAACGTTCCCCGTGTGAGGCTCACACTGGATCAATACTTAGGAGTTAGGAATGGTACGGGTACGTAGTTTAATGTAGTACGCCGCGCGCGCCAATCCCGCACTACGTTAAATAACATAGGCCGAACTCAACGAGTTGTGGTGTTAAGGGATTTTATTCATTGGTTTTACACAAAACAGACATTTCTCGGTTTATTATTTTATTATTATTACTATGTCAAATGAGATGGGGATATGCATATTTTAACACAAATATGACGGAAGGATGAGTGTAGAATAGAGCGTTTAGAGCATAGGAAGGATAGGCATATTCCTCTTTTGTGTCTGGCTTATTTCCACATCAACTAAAAATTGCAAAGGTAATTCCATTACATAAAAAAAATGAGGTTACTGAAATATCTAACTATAGACCTGTTTCATTGCTCCCTGCTGTATCAAAAGTATATGAGAAAGCAATGTACATTAGATTGGTAGATTATCTTGAAGCAAATAAGTTATTTGATAATGCTCAACATGGTTTCAGAAATGGAAGATCAGTAATAACAGCAGCTACTGACTTCATTGAGTCCATTGTAGAATCAATTGAAAACGGTGAAAATGTTCTAGGGATATACATGGATCTCTCTAAAGCATTTGATAGTGTTTGTCATTCAATTTTGCTAGAGAAACTGGAAAGTCTTGGAATAATGGGAGTCCCCTTAAAATGGTTTCAATCTTATTTGGATGGTCGGATGCAATTTGTTGAAATAAAATCACACAAAAACAATTATTTAACTACATTTAACTCTCAGAAACGTAGAATTAAGTGGGGGGTGCCACAGGGTTCAATTTTGGGACCAATTTTGTTTTTATGTTATATAAAAGAATTGCCTAAAAGTATTGTTAATCCCCAAAAGAGTAAGATTTGTTTATATGCAGATGACTCAAATTTAACAGTGGCGGGGAAAAGTAAAGATGAGTTGGAAATTTCGGCCTTTGTAGAATTGTATAATATACAACAATTTCTAAAAAATAATAATTTGAATCTTAATACAACAAAAACAAACTTTATGTCCTTTTCGACTAAACAAAGTAAACAGAAACTTGAACCCAATTTGATCATTGATTCAGAATCAATAGAACAACTTTCTGAAGCCAAACTTTTAGGTCTCTATGTAGATGAACATCTAAGTTGGAATAAACACGTTGAAAAATTATTAAAAAAGCTTAATTCTGGAGTGTACGCATTGAAAAGAATGTCTTATTTGTGCAATTTAGATGCACTCAAAAAAATATATTTTGCCCATATTCATTCTCACATAAACTATGGCATTGGACTATATGGGGCAACTACGATTAAAAATTTAAATAAAATTCTAATCATGCAAGAAAAGGCCATTAGAACTATGTTACACCTTAAAAAAGATGAATCAGTTAAATCTCACTTTAAAAATCTAAATATTTTAACAGTTTTTGCAGCGTATACTTTTGAAATAGCATGTATAGCTAAAAGAGACAGCCTAAAATATGAGCCAGTTGTGCCACATAGCTACAATACAAGACATAAAAAGGATATTGTAACTTCAACCTATAAGCTGGAATTCTCAAAAAAAAAACCGACTTTTGCTGGATCACAAATTCTAAGGAAATTGCCTGCCTCTATAAGGGAGGAATCAAATTATAAATTATTTAAATCTAAATTAAAAAAATATTTAATAGGAAAGGCGCCTTATACAATGGAGGAACTCATTGAATAAATATTCATACTTAAAATGTATTTATATCTAAGCTAGTTTAGTACTTTATACTTGACACTATTTGTGTACCCATGTACATGTAAGGAAAATAAAGATGTTTTGATTTGATTTGATTTGATTTGATATGCTTTGAATGTGCTCTGTGATCTTTACAAATTTCTCTCTAATAACCTTCATGAACTTTACAAGTTGGTCTATTTTGAGATAGAATTAAATAGTGTCAGCTATGGTCCTAGTGAGAAAATATAATCGTTTATTTATAATATAACTAGCAGCTAAACCCGTGCCTTGCAACGGGGTCAGTACGCAAGAGACAATAATTTTGATTCTTTAAATATGCCTTAAAAATGGTTTCGCACCTACAATTTAATTTAGAAACAAAATTTAACAGTTGTTAACCAGTTTAATATTTTTTCTGTAACACACACACACAAGACACCAACTATTCTTTATAATAGTATATAGAAATAGATAACTTCCATTCACTTGCTTATAAATAAATAAAAAGGCCTTTATTTACGAGCGAGTTTCATGATACATGGTTTTCAAACTAACTCAATAGAAGATTAAAAAAATGTAATGGTTACCTTGGCCCCATAATCGCCACCAAAGACCCAGGCTCTGCTAGACCACTCACTGTAAAATAAAGAAATGCTGTTTTAGATGTAACGTTAGTACTTAAGTCTAAGACAATACAACTTGCTCCCTGAAGTATCGTTCTTAATACTTTTGTGCGGTGTATTTATATTAGAGAGGAAAAAGTCGATAGGTTTGGTATAAAAGAGTATAATTTATTACGAGAAAAATGAATGCGTGATGTTATGAGCGGTGATTCAAGACGAATGAATGCAACAATGAAAATTGATATATGGTAATGTGATGGGAATTACAGATGGACTGTTAAAAACAAAGACATATAAAATTAATACAAAAAACAAAGGCAACTTGACTGAACATACCGCCCCCTTTGAACCAACAATGTTCAACAAAAGAAAAATTGAAAAAATATAAAAATTTTTTAGAATTGACCAGAGTGGGTTGTAATTATTTAAAGAATGCAGCTTAATGGTATGAAGACACTTTGAATGATGGTCTTGAATGAGGATCAGCTGGTCTGTAGCTATGAGGAGCTGGTGTGTTTTAGCAAACAGGGTCTACACATTGAGGTTTTCTTTCTTGAGGTTCCACTTGAAACAACGCTGATGAGGGGTCTTAAAATATTCTTGACTCCAACGGCAGCATAGGCTTTGGGTGATGTCTTGAGGTAAATTATCAATAAGAAGTGAGATCTTTGTTGGGTCAGGAACAGTTGTCAGAGAAGATTTGATAAGAAAATGGCCAGGAGTTTCAGCTGTCAGTTTCGAAGGTTTTGAGTTTGCTATTGCTTCTTTTTCTTTTTTTCTTGGTTGGAGTGATTTCTGCTATCAGCCATAGGCTTAGTAGGCTTCAAAAAATGTAGGAGTGTGTGATGAAGTTTCAAACAGGTTTTACAAGGATTAGTAGACTTGCAGCGTTTAGCAAAGTGAATACCAAGGCAATTTGTGCAGCGTTTTAAGTCGCGTACAACTTTAAGCCTTTCTTGCGGGGTTTTACTATTAAAGACAGGGCAACTGTATATTTTGTGATTTTTATGGCAGAAAAAACATTTCAAATCATTTGAAGTACATATCAAAGCCATAGGAGGATGTTGAAACTGAAATGATTCATCAATTTGACGTGGAACTTGGTGGAGGGTTGGATATTTGGAGAGGAGCAGCTTGCTGACTGTGACATAGAGATGCATCTTCACTGTTGTTACAAAAGTCTTTAAGAAATTTGATTATTTTACTTGCTTGAGGAAAATCAGAAGAACTTATGCGTTTTGATTCGAAAACTTGACAGAGGTTGGAATTCATTTTTCATAAGATCAACATACTTAGTAGGTAGTTGTCTTCCATGACATTATAGTCAAGAACACTAAGAGCTTGTTCATTTTCATTAAACTCATTTAAAAATGATCTAAGGTTTTTGATAGATTTGTCAGTTATATTGGGCAAATCGTCAATTTTATTGAGGTGGACAGAGATTAGCCTACGCTTCGAGTGATATCTTTCCCGTAAAGCATTATAGGCTACTGTATAGTTGCCAGACGAGATCGGTAAGGATTTGATTAAGTGTAAGGCTTCGCCTTCAAGTGAACTTATCAAGTACTGGTGTTTTTCAACAAGGGATAAGCTACTATTGTTGTGGATAGTAGTATCAAAAAGGTTAATGTAGGATGTCCATGTTTTAGTGTCACCATTGAAGGACTTCAGTTCTAGCTTAGGCAATTTTACAATGCTAGAAGTAGGCCTAGAGGTTAGGTTTGTTGTTACAGAGTTTTTTGACAAGTGTTCATCATTAAAGTTCTGAATTAGAAGAGAAATTTCTGTTTGAATGTTTATTGAGAGTTCTGATATGTCGTTCTGGAGCTTTAAAATAGCTTCTTCATTGTCAGAAAAAAACGTTAGTTTCGTCATCAACATCAAGAAGTTTATCTAGGTTAGATTCAAAATTGGCAGAAATTGTTTTAGCTTTGTGCAAATAAAGGTTAAGTTTAGCGGTTTGAGCTTCTGTTATTTCTAATGGACATGATTGAATATACTCACTGATCGTATTTAATTTATTTAATTGCAATTTGCATCTATTGGAAAATGTGGAAAATCTCATTTTGAAAGTTAGGCCTAGATCGTTCAATAAATAGTCAAGATATTGTAAACGGATGGAGTAATTTGAGGATAAGAGGATAAGGACGACTGAGGAATAAAATCAGGGTTTCTTTATTATTTTCATGTTGATATTGATTTATTTTGATAACTTACGATGAGATGTGGTGCGTTGTCTTCGAAGTACAAACAAACATAACCTTACTTTTCAATTTCTTGACGTTTGAAGTTGAAGTTGTAGACGAAATGAAGTGATGAATGTGGAGCGGAACTAGCAGAACAATGACGATGTTGAACACTTGGAATGAGAGGAGTGTGGACTGTATCGTGACGTAGACGTAAAGTTCAAAATGGCGATGCGGTATTGTCCTTGGCGGCTTTACGTTGGATGAAATACGTTCAACCGAGACATTGAAAATAACATGAGAAAAAGTCGCACTAATGTTCGTAGATATAATCCGCGGCTCGATAGGACCAAAAATGTGCGGTGTATTTATATTAGGAGGAAAAAGTCGATAGGTTTGGTATAAAAGAGTATAATTTATTACGAGGAAAATGAATGCGTGATGTTATGAGCGGTGATTCGAGACGAATGAATGCAACAATGAAAATTGACATATGGTAATGTGATGGGAATTACAGATGGACTGTTAAAAACAAAGACATATAAAATTAATACAAAAAACAAAGGCAACTTGACTGAACAACTTAAATACTTTTCATTGAAATGGCGACCATACAAAGTAGGTATTTTAAGCCAAGTATGAATGGAGATGGGTGTAGGATGAGTGGCGCGATCTTGTAGTCTTGTTAGTAACTAAGGCCGACATATTCCTTAGACACAAGCTGTTAATTAATAGCCCATACAGCTAATGGCAACTTTCATATACTACATGATTTGTTTTTTAAGCTCTTTAAAAGGGTCTAGAGAGAAATGGGAAAATTTTGTGTTTTGAGGGTGAAAAATGAGAAAACCCATTTATTACCCCATAAAACCCCTCGTAAAACCCGTTCCCATGGTCGGATCATGCTGGTTTGCGAACTCATTCAAGTTTATCCCGCATAACACATTTAAACCAAATTTCATCCGAATTAGACGTAAATTACTCAAGTTATCACGTTCACGGACGTATATATATATACGTTATATATAATATACTACAAAAATAATTATAAATTAATAACCAAAAGTAACCAATAAATGTTTTGGCATCCCTCCCAAGTAGCACAAGAACAAGAATGGGCCCAACACTGATCCTTGTGGCACTGAGTATTTTACTGTCCTAACCTCAGATTTAATATGGTACATTTTATTCCCACTTAAATGAACAATGTTAACAAACTGTTGGCGTCCCTCCAGATAAGATTCAATCCAGCTTAACTCTATGCCACCAATTCCATACATTTTAAGTTTATTTAGTAGGTAACTTTAAATGGTGCACACTGTCAAATGCCTTGGACATATCCAAAAAGGCACCAATGACTTTGTTGTCCTCATCCAACTTTTCTAATACATTTTCAATGTAAGATATAAGTGCTGTAGTGATGGATTTGTTTTTTCTATAACCATGCTGCTCTATATCTAATAAGTTATTAATTTCAAAATAATCCACTAATTTAAAAAGAAAGCATTTTTCAAATAATTTTGAAAGAGCTGGTTGAATTGCCAGTGGTCGATAGTTATTTGGATCTTTTTTGTCTCCTTTTTTGTATACCGGGATAATTTTTGAAATTTTCAGCTTATCAGGATGAAAACCTGTTATAAGTGAAGTATTAATGACGTGTAAAAGTGGCAGTGGTTACAGTTGGCAATGATGATTTGAAGAATCAGAAGTCTGTGAAATTATTAGGGGTAATATATGATAAAAATCTGAAGTGGCATGAACATATTATACCATTATGTAAGAGATTAAATAACATTTGTTTTAATATGAGTTGCTTTACAGCCTGTACCAGCATGGAAACAAAACTTATTTTGTACTATGGCTATTTTTACCCGTTACTGAAATATGGAATAACATTATGGGGCGCAACAAGTTTAATAAAAAATGTATTGAAATTGCAAAAGAAAATCTTAAGAGCCATGTCCCTCAAAAAGCCTGGAAGCTCATGTAAAGAAGTATTTAAAAGTTTAAAAATACTTACCGTACCATGTATTTACATTTTTGAGGTTCTGTGTCATGTAAAAAATAATTCAAATTGGTACTCTATAGAAAAAAATAGCCACAATTACAATACTAGAAACCAGAATTTACTTATATACCCTCATAATTCTACGACATCTTTGGAAAACAGTATTCATTACATGGGAATCAAATTGTTCAATAAACTTCCAAATCACTTAAAAAACACAGCAATGAGTCCAGCACAATTTGCAGATAACGTTAAGTGTAATCTGATCAGAAAAACCTATTATAAAGTTGCCGATTTTCTAAATGACTCTCAAATGTTATAAGCAGGTCCTGTTACTTCCATAATATTTTATAGGGTAAAAAGTTCCTTCTCTTGGTTAATCTTGTTGATTTTTAAATGTTACATATTATATATAGGCCTATATATCGTTTTTTGTTGTGAAATTTTAATGAAGAGTCTGTTATTTACTACAATTAAATGTTTTATTTATAATTAAATTATATAAATCCTGAATTAAGTTGGTAATGGTAATAGTATTTAGTTTAAAGCTTGATATTATATTTTTTATTAAACCTTTTGGCTAGTCTATACAAAGAATTCCTCAAATGTTAGACAACTATTGTATTTATTATTACTAAATACATTTTAAGAAAGGACATTATAATATTAGGCTATAAGAAGAATGACGAAGCACCTGTACATCTATAACCTCTGTACGTTTATGTGCTAATAAACATGATTTGATTTGATTTGACTACTTCCCTATAGGGAAATTTGCTAAAACGGCTGTTTTTGCTTCAGTATGACGAAAAATAGTTTTTACTTTTTCTAAAAATAAACAGCAATAAGATTACAACATTAACAATAAAAAGAGTTTTAATCATAAACTTCTGGAGAAAAGTATTCTACTGCTGCACTTTTAAAGATAAATAAAAATATTCATTATTCATTTTATTCACAGAGTGTGTGACAAGGTAGACTAAGCATACATAATCAAGCATGCAATTCTCCATAGAAAAACTATGCATACATTATAAGGTATCAGATTATCAGTTCCAGTTACATTATTCAAGCCTTGGCAGTAGAAAAACAGCCAACCACTAGACACCTGCTTGACTGGTTCAGTGGTTCTATGTTCCACTCCAATGGCACTCTCAACTTTCATATGATTGTACATTTAAGTTCAATTTGTGTTCTTTTTGTTTATTTTAAAGGGTCGACACTAATGTTGAAGCAAATCTACAGACTTCATGAGATTTTTTTTTCAATAATGAGCCTATCATACTTGTATAGATAGTTTTAGATAGTCTATATTTTTTTAAGAGTTCTTAAACCATACTAAATTAGTAACATATCTTTATTTTTAAAACGTTTTTATTATCTCGCTTTCTTGTCTGAGGTTAAGAGGTACAGGTTCTGCTTTTGAGATATTCTAAAATATAAAACAAGCATTTCAAAGTAAAGATAAAACATCTGATTACAGATAATAAGGTTTTGGTTATTTATTAACAGGCCACATAAAATAGATTGAACATATTTCCACATTAACGGCTAAAAAGTAGAAAATAATTTATAAATATGTGGAGAGAATAAATCCTTGTAAGATTTAAAACTAAAAACGTGGGCGCATGCAATAGCCAATTTACAATTATTAGGTATTATCTTTGCCTATTGAACTATTATTATCTATTGCATGCGCCCACGTTTTTTGTTTTAAATCTTACAAGCATTTATTCTCTCCACATATTTGTAAATTATTTTCTACTTTTTAGTTTGTTTTAAAACGTGGTATTTTAAAAAGTTTTTTTATTTACAAATTATTTAGTTTTATATCACATGTAAAAGAGATTCATGCAGCTTGTGAATAAAACAAATCCTATTAGATTGTTTTGATTCAAAACTGAAATATGAATAAAATAAAATGCATTGTTGTAGCCCCGGAACTGTAATATATAAAACTGGTTTTACATTACCTTTATCAGTTTCAAAAGTAACCTTCATCAACATGTTAAATGTTTCGGGGAGCTGCCATTGTCAAACACTTCATTACTGGAATATGTAGATTCGCTTGAATAGCTTCATTCTCATAACACATCACACAACAAACAAGAGTTAAATTGTTTTTTTAAGAAAATAAAGCAGTAATTTACCTTTGTTGATTATTCTAACATCTTGGTATTTCTGCTGAAGCCATGAGCTCTTCTCTTCGTTCTTTTTCTTCACCCAAACAGAAATATTATGCCAGGACAATGTCAGGTTCCCTGCACCTATCAGACCATCTTCATTTGGATCCGAAGAGTTTTGGGTAATGGGAAGTTCAAGATTCATTTTCATGACTCTCAGGCTGAATGCATCTGTAAATTTTTGAAAGTGAAGTTCAGATTGCAAAGTAATGATGTATTTGTGCTGTGATCTATAGTCACAGTGGGTGTATGTGCTTGGTTATGTCATATACAGGACATTTGTAATGTACTGACACCAAGAATATACTGTCCTTGTTCATTGGGCTTTAAATAAATGGTCCTGACTAAGAATAAGAATCCTTTATTGTCATTAGACACAGTTGTGCAATTGACATTGTCAAAGAAAACTATAAACTAAAAAATGTAACAGAGCCATGAATATTATCACAGTAGACCTTATGTAACATACATGTAAAACTTAGCGTATATCACAGAAGAGATCACAGTTGTCAATTGAGAATGAATATCATCTTTAAAATAAAAAATTTTGAATAACAATTAATGCATGTTACTTAAAATCTATAAAATCAGTAGCACTCAAATGTAAAAACTCATTAACAGAATTAAGTGGGTGTTTTAGAAGACCATTTGTTACGACAGTTTTAAAATTAGCAAAGGATTCAATAATATTCCTGACATGATGAGGTAGTATATTCAGGGTGTCTAGTTTATTTCCATTATAAAATTCAAGACTAATTCCAGACTTTTCAAGACTAATTCCAGATTTTTCAAGACTAGTTTTTTCCACAATTAGTGGGTGTTGATACCAAAATGTATCGATTCTCGATTCTTGATACCGATACCAATTTTTATAGCTATTTCTAACCAAATTTTCTAAATAATACTACACCAACTCTTTGTCTTTGTCATAAAGTAGTATTATGATAGTGTGGTGTTTTCAAGTAAAGAAATAATGCAGCAATAAAAAAATCTAACTAGCAAATTTGGTTTTTTTTTATCATGAAATCTTCTGCGTACCGTACGTTTAGACATCATCATTGACTGCAGCGGTTACAGAAACGTGATCGTCGTAGTCCGCGATCACGGCAAAATCATGAACATTTCCCGCGGCCGTGTATACATCATCGTCGTCTCCCGCGGTCACGGAAACTTCATCGTCATGGTCATCTCCCGCGGTCACGGAAACTTCATCGTCATGTACTGCGGCCACAGAAACGTAATCGTCGTCGTCCGCGGTCGCGACAAAATCATGAAAATTTCCCGCGGCCGAGCAGATATCATCGTCGACTCCCGCGGTCACGGAAACGTCATCGTCATCTCCCGCGGTCACGAAAACGTCATCGCCTTCGTATTCGATCGCGGCAAAATCATGAACACTTCCCGCTGCCGTGTAGACATCATCGTCGACTCCCGCGGTCACGGAAACGTCATTGTCATCTCCCGCGGTCACGGAAACGTAATCGCCGTAGTCCTCAATCGCGGCAAAATCATAAAATTTCCCGCTGCCGTGTAGACATCATCGTAGTCTCCCGCAGTCACGGAAACGTCATCATCGTTGTCCGGGATCGCGGCCAAATCATGAACGTTTCCCGCGGCTGTTTAGACATCACCGTCATCTCCCGCGGTCACGGAAACGTTATCGTCGACGTCCGCGAACACGGCAAAATCATGAACATTTCCCGCGGCCGTGTAGACATCATCGTCGTCTCCCGCGGTCACGGAAACGTCATCGCCGTCGTCCTCGATCGCGGCAAAATCATGAACATTTCCCGCGGCCGTGAAGACATCATCGTTGTCTCCCGCGGTCACGGAAACTTCATCGTCGACTCCCGCGTTCACGGAAACGTCATCATCATCTCCCGCGGTCACGGAAACGTCATCGCCGTCGTCCTCGATCGCGGCAAAATCATGAACATTTCCCGCGGCCGTGTAGACATCATCGTTGTCTCCCGCGGTCACGGAAATTTCATCGTCGACTCCCGCGGTCACGGAAACGTCATCGTCATCTCCCGCGGTCACGGAAACGTCGGCGTCGTCTCCCGCGGTCACGGAAACGTCATCGCCGTCTTCCTCGATCGCGGCAAAATCATGAACATTTCCAGCGGCCGTGTAGACATCATCGTCGTCTTCCGCAGTCACGGAAACGTCATCGTCGTCATCCGGGATCGTGGCCAAATTATGAACATTTTCCGCGGCTGTTTAGACATCACTGTCATCTCCCGCGGTCACGGAAACGTTATCGTAGACGTACGCGATCACGGCAAAATTATGAACATTTCCCGCGGCCGTGTAGACATCATCGTTGTCTCCCGCGGTCACGGAAACTTAATCGACATCTCTAGCGGTCACGGAAACGTCATCGTCGTCGTCGGCGATCGCGACATAATTATGAACATTTCCCGCGGCCGAGCAGATATCATCGTCATCTTCCGCGGTCACGGAAACATCATCGTCATCTCCTGTGGTCACGGAAACGTCATCGTCGTCTCCCGCGGTCACGGTAACGTTATCGTCGTCCACAGCGATCACGGAAAGGTCATCGTCGTCTCCCGTGGTTTCGGAAACGTCATCGTCGTCGTCCACTATCGCGGCAAAATTATTAACATTTCCCGCGGCCCTGTTGACAACATCGTCGGCTCCCGCGGTCACGGAAACTTCATCGTCATCTCCCGCGGTCACGGAAACGTCATCGTCGTCGTCCGGGATCGCTACAAAATCATGAACATGTCCCGAGGCCGTGAGGACTATCATCATTGGCTATCGCGGTTACGTAAACGGAAGACGGCGATCGCGGCAAAATCATAAAATTTCCCGACTTTGAAATCAAATTTAAGACTAAATCCCGACTTTTCAAGACCATTTTTAAATTCAAGACTAATTCCCGACTTTCCCGATTTTCCCGACTACTAGACACCCTGTATATTGTACAGTTTAAACCCTATAACTTTAGAGCTTTTGGCTGCTTTGGTCAATCTACAAAAGGGAATGTCAATTTCATTTCTTGAGCCTTGTGTTGTGGCTATGTACATTTAGCCTTAGCCGTTTCAACAAGAATACAGATTGTTTTTTTACTTCTAATACTGGGTGGCGCATAAAGAACGCATGGATTTGAGTTGAGTGGTGAGAGCAATAGGAGCGTGGTGGAGGGACTGGGCCTGGTTGTTTTGTAGGTAAGGGTGTCCAGTTTTAGTAGCAATGGTGCAGTGGTCCGTGGTACATCGGATGTTTGCGGTAGAACATTTATTCAAAAGTAATTAAATCTGTTAAAACTGTTCAACGGCTTTTCTGCACAAAGTTCAATGTTCCGCGAGTCCTGAAAAAAGTACGGTAAGGCCCAAAAATAACGAAAGTCACACCAAACGTTAAGTTTTAAATCGTGCAGTGGTTTTTGATGCAATTCTTTTGGGTCTTCTGCTGCCAAATAGTGCCAGTTTTGCTTATTGACATAACTATCCAAATGAAACTGCGCTCCATCATTAACATCACACACAAAACGCCATCAGTGGCAAGAACATCAACCATTCTCTCAAGACAGTTTCCATTTTCGTAATCACGTTCATAAATCTTCTGTTCGATCATAATTTTGTAAGGATGAAATTTTAACTCGTCTTTCAGGTTGCCCTGCAACGAGCGTCAAGACAAGCCCACAGTTGGAGCGCATCGCCTAGTGTAACAGACGCCCTTACTCTGTCGACATTTTGTGGAGTTCGCGCCGTGCAAGGACAACCAAACCACTTCTGCTTCATAACTGATTCAGTTGTGCGAAAAGGAGCTATCCAACAAAGTATTGTGTTGCGATCGGGTTTTGTTTTGAACCATTGAACTATGCACGGAGAAGCCATTGAATAGTTATATCAGATTCATTATTTTTGAATAAATGTTCTACAGCAAAAACGTGATGCGTCAGGTTGATTGCACCATTACTACTAAAACTGGACGCCCTAACCTACAAAACAACCAGGCTCTGTCCCTCCACGGACGCTTTTATTGCTCTTACCACTCAATTCAAATCCATGCGTTCTTTATGCGCCACCCAGTAGAACATACAAAACATATAAACTAAAGACAGTTAACACTTTTTCATGGATAAAAATAGACCTACAGTACTCTGAGTAGTCAGCTGAAGCTAGTATTCTGACATCATGTACTCCAGCTGCATTTCCCCATAAACATATGCCATACAGTAAATTACTTTGAAAGAAACTATTGTATTTAGATATGACTTGGGGACATTTTTATCTAAAGATCTTAGTAAGTTTCAATCTAGTGTCAACTAACAATATTCTATTTTCCTATGTTTTAATACCAGCTGGTTGGTTAATTATTTATTGTTTTTCTGTTGTGATTCAGTTGTACAATTTAGCCTAATGTTTTGTTTTAGTGTTTGTGATTTTTACAATGTTCAAATATATTTCTCAAACGTTTAAAGTTTATTGAATTTAGACACAATATTGGCGACGAGGATGAGTGAAGTACTTAAGCTCAAAAAGGTATTAACTGCAAGCAAAATTCAAATTAGTAAATCTTACAATGCAATTGTACAAAATAAAACAGTGAGAGAATACATGAGTAGTGAAGTCACAGTGCGGTTGTCTTCATTACGGACATATTGGAACAGATTTGAAAATGCTCAATCTGAACTCGAATCTTTAGTTGATGAAGAAGATATAGAGCAATTAGCAACTAGTAGAAGTGAAATTGAAGAGCTGTACATTACAACCGAAGTGGTGTTAAGAAACAAACTGCAATCCCCAACCACAGTTACGAATCAGCCTTCAGTAGCTTCACATCCTTCTGTTACATCAAATATTGCTTTTGTTCCGTTCGATGAAGGAGAATCATTTACAAACTTCATTGGCTGCACTTTACTTGACGTCCTACACTCATTCGATTGTTTTTCGATTCGATATTTTCATTCGATTGTTTCATTCGATATATTGTTTGGTTAGTTAGGTTAGGTTAACCTTACCTAACTAACCAAACGATATATCAAATGAAGCAATCGATTAATCGATATATCGATCGATATTTTCATTCGAATGAGTGTAGGACGTCAAGTAAAGTGCAGCCACTTCATTAAAAGATTTGAAAACTTTATTTCCTTGAAGAAAATTTCTGACGTTAAAATAAAGCTTTGCACATTACTTGCA